AGGATAGAACCTAATGTGACTAACCAGCGTTTAGGTCAATGCTTCAAGCTGGAAAATCAGAGTAGATAAATTGAGCTGAGCAGGAGGAGGTGCAGCAGGAGAATACACAAGCACTATAACAACAGCAGCTCGAGGATAGTTTGGCTTCTACTAGGTCAAGACGAGCATACAAGCAGGTACTAAAGCTGTGGGCTGATCATCCCCTGAAACACTAGAGACAGGTTAATTTAGTGGAATACGCACTCTCGATGGAGGAAGATGAGCAGGTCTCCTTCAAGGAAGCTATTCGGGACAAGGATAGTGACGGTTGGCTGCGATGGAGGGGGAGATGGAATCTCTTCGGAAGAACCAAACATGGGAGGTGGTCTTATTGCCCGTAGGAAGAAAAGCTAGTGGGTGTATAAGAGAAAGGAAGACCCTTCAGAGCTCGGTGGTACAAGGTATAAAGCGAGACTAGTGGCTAAAGGGTTTGCACAAAGAGGGTGTAGATTACAATGAGATCTTTTCTCCGATGGTGAAACACACTTCTATTCGGGTGCTATTGAGTATTGTTGCTCATGGTGATCTTAAGCTAGAATAACTCGATATAAAGACAACCTTCTTGCATGGAGACTTGGATGAAGAAATCTACATGCATCAACCTGAGGGCTACAAGGTTAAGGACAAGAAGAATCATGTGTGTCGCTTGAGAAAGTTACTCTATGGACTGAAGCAATCTCCTCGACAGTGGTACAAGCGATTTGACTCCTTCGTGCTGAAGCATGAGTTTTTTCGAAGCGATTATGATTAGTGTTTACATTCGGAAGCTTTGTGAAGGTGATTATATCTATCTTCTTTTATATGTGGATGACATGTTTATTACTTCTAAGAGCATGGTGAAGATAGATAAAATCTCAACTTGATAAAAAGTTCGAGAAGAAGGACATGAACGCTGTAAGGAAAATACTGGGTATGGAGATTAGAAGAGAGCGGACGAATCGACGATTGTTCTTGAGTCAGAAGGGCTACATAGAGCGGATGATCGCGAGGTTCGGGATGCAACGTGCTAAGTCGGTGGTGATTCCATTGGCTCCACACTTCAGGCTTTCAGGTAAACAATCTCTCACTACAGCTAAAGAGAATGAACACATGGAACGTGTTCCTTATGCTAGTATAGTTGGCAGTTTAATGTACGTCATGGTGTGTACACGCCTAGATATTTCACAGGTGGTCAGTGTGATCAGCTGATTCATGACGAATCCGAGAAAGGCACATTGGGAAGCGGTGAAGTGGATCCTGAGGTACTTGAAGGGTACCGTTGATACGAGTCTGTGTTTTGGTGGAGATACGTGTCAGATAGATGAGTTTATTGACTCAGATTATGCAGACGATCTAGATAGACGGCGATCTACTACTGGTTATGTATTTAGGATATATGGGGTTCCAGTTAGTTGGCGATCGATGTTGCATGCTACAGTGATACTTTCTACTACAGAGGCCGAGTACATGACCATGACGGAGGGAGTGTGTTTTCAGCGAAAGTTGATTCCATTGTCGATTCCATTAAAACTTCGATCGTTTTACAGAAAATTACAATGAAAATAAGCAAAAATTATAACTCTCGAGAAAATAACACAGAAATTATTTATCAACTCCTGCTTTTGTGGGACTTTGTCTGTGCTGGGAGTGCTTTGGCTCGTGGACCACTGATTCACAGATCGTGAGGATGTTTAGGGATCTTTCCTTTGTTTATCGAAGTAAAGATTTGAAAGCGAATATCTTATCGATGTAAGATGTTCACTCTTCCAAAGATCAAGTCTGAGCTTAGATCTCTAGAAATCACCAAATGATGCTTGTCAAAAGGTGAAAGTTCTCTTTCTTCCTCAAAATCACCAAAAACTCAAGTCTCTTCTGCTCTAAAATGCTCCCCCCCCTTATTTCGTGCATAGGGAGATATTTATAGGGGTAGGAGTGCACAACAGTTAAAACGGGGGCGAAGTAACCGACCAAATGACTGTTCTTTGGCCGCGGCAGTCGACATTACCGCGGCTATTGGCGCGGTAGTGTGGACTGTCGCGGCCAAAGAAGCGGTTACCAGCACGTTCCATCGTGCTTGAAACTGTTATCCCACGACCTTTAACCACCTTTTTCGTGGTTTAACTGCTTGTACACGTCAGCACACGTTCTATTTCTGATACGTTGCCACGTGGGCTTCAAAAAATTATCATACAACTGTCTTGTAACCGCCGCAGCACTCCCCTATAATAGCCACGGCACCATAGGTTGTCGCGCCGTAGCCGCGGCACCATAGGTTGCCGCGTCTTAGCCGCGGCACCATGGTCTGCCGCGCCTTAGCCGCGGCACTAAGTGCTGTCGTGCCTCCTTTGAATGATCCCCTCTGATTAAGAGAATGGCGTTTATCATCTTCTCTTTGTCTTGAGTGGTATTTGGATGTCTGTAAGTATTTTTTGACGCCTACAGAGTGAAGGAAGCATTGTGATTGTGGGGTCTTCTAGACGATTTGGGGATTGAGCAGAAGAATGTGAACTTGTGGTGCGACAGTCAGAGTGCGATTCACTTGGCGAAGAATCAAGTTCATCATGCTCATACCAAGCATATCGATGTCAGGTATCATTTCGTGCGGGATGTCATAGAGAAAGACGATATTTCTCTCATGAAGATGCACACGAATGAGAATCCCGCAAACATGTTAACCAAGATGGTCACAGGTAGCAAGTTTAAGCATTGCTTGGATTTGTTTCATATCAGCCCGTGTTGAACTGCCCAAGAGGGCATGGCCTTTCGGGGTGGTGATGGGGTGATGTGGAAACAACTATATGGAGAACAATAGCAGAACTACGGTTAGCTTGATCCCGGTGGAGGGTACGTAGGCAGCCGCGGTATAATGACGCTGCTGGTTTTGACCTGATTTGGCCTGGTATGGTGTTTTAGATCTATCTCTGATGATGTTCGCGATGTTCTTCTGGTGTTTGTCCAAAATTTAAGGTTTATCAAATGATGTACGATGTGAAGAATTATGAATGTGGGGGCCACGAGCGGGAGGCAAAGCGCATGGGGGCCACACCCACGAACGCGCCCACGAGCGCGGAAGCGGCAAGCCTAGTGCGGCCCACCCAAGAAATCCATGCGATCTATTATAAATACCCGTATAGCTTCTAGGGTTTTCTGCGGGGAAAAAACACAGGAAAAATAGAGGGTTTTGACGGCGGCTAAAGAGTTTTCAGATCTGAGATCTTGAGAAGAAATGTGAGAGCTTTAGAGAGATTTTACAAGAGAGAGGTCAATTTCTTTTGGGTAAAAATCAAATTTTCTTTCTTTGTGACGAGCTTGTGGGTTGTACAAGCCGTCGGTGTTCTTATAGTGGAATCTCCCCTCCTCCCTCCCGTGGACGTAGGCAAGTTTGCCGAACCACATAAATCTCGTGTCTTTACTATTTTTTTGGGTGTTTGGCTATTGCTTGTAGATTCCCTCGACAAGTCAGTCCTAGAACTGATGAGAGGAAGAGTGTATATTTCACTTTGTTGAGATATTAGATTCCCTCGACAAGTCAGTCCTAGAACTGATGAGAGGAAGAGTGTATATTTCACTTTGTTGAGATATTTCACTTTCTATTCTTGTCCTAGAACTGATGAGAGGAAGAGTGTATATTTCACTTTGTTGAGATATTTCACTTTCTATTCTTGTTTTCTTTGTGAAACGAGAATATAGATGTTGGCTTGAGCTTTTGTAAAAATAAAAATCAGGCCTTTCTCTCAGGCTATATCGCTTCCGCGGCGTGAGGGCGTGACTCCACGCCTAACACTTTTCAAGACCTTTTTTACATAAATTATCAAACCAATCAAATATAGGAAATGTAAACTTTGTTTGGTTTGAGATTTCCAAAGCTACTATGATAAGGAAATGTAAACTTTTTTTATTTCATCTTTTACCATGCGAACAAAACAGCCTATAGTGTAAGAAATTCTCACTTGTTTTTGAATATGTACTTTTGGATAGACACAATCACCTAGTTAGGACGCAAAAATTGTACTGTTCTGCCTATGTCAAACTATCTATAATAAAAAAAAGTTAAGATGCATAAGGGACCATGACCATGAAGATAAGCTCCCCAACTCATCAACTGTCCTTCTTTATGGAGAGCCAAGATGGCCCATAATAGGTTCATGCCCACCAAATGATATAGTTTATAAGCCCTTAGGACTAACTTAGATGGAGTTATATTTCCTATTGACAAGAAATTATGAACTCTTAGAGTTAAAGTTTCCATGAATCCTTCACAAGTTTAGGTGCACAAGTTTGTAGGAAGATAGACTTTGTAATAAATCTTGTATTGGAGGAAGTGGAGAAACCATTTCCTCAATCAGAATCCTCTATCATATTTAAAATAAATATAAATAAGCCTCTCATATCCCATAATTTATGTTAAGCAGGTCACTCATTCGAATATGTTATTTTTAACCCTGAATAAATTTAACATTTAGATCCTAATTTAAATTAAATTACTTAGATATATTATAGGACGGTGGATCCAAATCCAGCTTCTACATCACATTAAAGAAAAGACATGGGCCCCTAACCATCCTCCACCATTAAGAGTTACAAATCTAGCCCATTAAAAGAGAGAGAAAACACAGCATCCATTCAATTATCAACTAGATTCAAAGTCATCCTTCAAAGTATTACGTGCAAAGAAATACATGCATAAACCCCACAAATTCACAATTCAATTTCATGAAAAGAAACATAAACATAGAGAAAGATATTAAATTACCACATTAGATTCAAGGGTTAATTGCATCTATGTTATTTTCTTTGTTGTAGATACACCATCTATGTTATTTTTTTGACTCTTTCACCCTTAGTGAAATTTTGACATGTATTGCCCTTGCATGAAATTAGTGAATCTATCTGAGTAAAAGAGTCAAAAAAATTTACATATCAATCATATGCATGGAAATAAATGCATGAACACGGAGAGAGAAAGATCAAAGAGAAGTTACCTAAAGCCCAATAAGGCATAGGAGCAGGGCGACCAATCAAAGAAGTATACTGCTCAACAACATCCAAAGGTTTCGAACCCGAAAAGAAGTAGAAATCCAGAACCCCTCCAATAACCTTGTAACTCAGAGAGTCTCCTCTATAGAAAACATCCATCCCATTGCTGTTAAGCAACAAAACTCCATGAGCAAATGGGCCGCCATTCGAATTCCTCAAGTCCATGTACACAGGATGTGACCCATAAAGATCCGTATTAAGATTAATTGCTGATATATCGGTTGTATATAGAGTGTAAGGATCATTTGGCCTTAATTTGATTCCTCCAGGTTGAGTGTTTTCTCCAAGTCCATATAATGAAGCAGTCTTCGGCAATTGAGTAGATATCTCCAAGTACTGATCTTTGAACACCAAGCTATTGAATTTGTCCTTGGATTCTGTACTTGTGTTGAAGAGAGTATCACCATTTAATTTTCTTTTGACTGAGAAACTAAAAGGGTCCGATATGTAACTGAATATGAGCTCATTGCCCGAGTACTCTGAGGATGTGAATGGGGAGGGTTTAGCTTTGTTGGAGGGTTTTAATGGAGGAGCTTGCTCTCTTTGAAGTAAGTTTGAGGGGACCTCCCATCTTTCTTTCTCTGCATCGGTTATGTGAACCCTTAAGCGTTCGTTTGTCTCATGCCTAGAGATCAATTGTTGAGTTAGTATAGTTTACATATGCATTTGTTATAAATAAGGGGCATATGAGAGTAAGAATTGGGTACATTTAAAAAAAAACTGAAGCTTGGGATGGTTTACCCAAAACATCAATGACATCAAAAATTAGAGCAAAATCGTTACATTTTGGGGAGTTTCACAATAAGTCTTTCTAAATTTTCAAAGTTTCATAAACTGAAATACCCTCTAATGGTAATCCAAGAAATTAATGGTAGCGGCTCTTGCTTTACTATGTACGGCCATATCATGGATGTTGTTAAGATGGAAAGAAGTAGCTTCCGAGCTCGTGTGTTTCAGCATGTTAGAAGAGAGAATAATTGTGTGGTTAGCGAACAAGGGATTATCTCTTTAGAATGCCATGTACTGGCATGAGCAAGCCCCCTTGGTATATTTTCAACATGCTTCAGAATGATGTAATGTCTATTTAAATGCAATGAAAAGTTCTTTTTCATCAAAAAATAAACATAAAAATAAATAGTCTTCCTCAAAACCGTAAAACAATTCCCATAATTGTTTTCTCCTTTCCTTCTATCCTCTCTTTCCCGATAAACCCTAGAACAGAGTTCACCCTAAAGTTCAGGTGAAAATTTAGGATGTTCTGTGAATCTCTCCAAAGTTTAAGAGGTTTTCTCTAATGTCTAAAGTTTAGGGGAGTTGGTGCAAGTACCTCAAAGTTCAATGGGGGTTTTGTGAAACTTACCCTAAGCACTAGTCCATTTTGATAAAAGATTCACTATGTTTGATGAACATTATACAAGAATGTATGTCTATTTGACACAGACCAATGCCAATTTAATCTACTCTCAAAAAATATCATATCATATGCTCATCCAATTCTTAAAAAGTTTGTGTAGACAGAAGTAATTTTAATAATGGCAATATAATTTAAGCAACTAGTTCAAGTACAAGATGCAATCGATTTCCCTAGAATACCAAAATAGAAATAACATGGGCATGTGAAATATTCACCATGATGATAGTTGTTGATTCCAATAATGAGTTGTTCTTATCAGCAACAGAGCATTATCCTCAAAAAGATGTAACTTTAAGACAGGCTGCTGATTAATGAATAGGGTAAGTATAATTTTGTCCAAAAAACAAAATCGCATCATGTTCAACAATTACCACAATTAGGGCAGTTTTGTTCTACCATCATGAGTAATGCATATGAAGTTCATCAACATGGGTCATTCCAAATGCTCATAAAATTGCATAAAACTGTTAGAACAAACAAAAATAATAATAAAAGGATCAAAAAGATAACTTTCTTTTCATAAAGAGGGGGTCTTTTTCCCTTGAAACATTCTTAATTTATAAATGCTTACTTGATAAACATTCTTAATTTATAAATGCTTACTTGATAAAAAACCTCAGATGAGGAATATCAGGGCCATAAACTTTAGAACTCTGCTTCAGTTTAAGATATCCTATCAATCCTCCATCTGGGTGTTCTTCAATTGACACTAGGCTGTATGAAGACCCAATCTTTTGAGAGGAAACACAAACAAAAACACAGAGAGAAAGAGAGAACAAGAGAAGAACACTAGTAGAGAATGAACCCATTTTCTTTCCACTATGCTCTTTCTCTCTCTAGAGAGTCTGAGCACTCTGGACACTATGGGAGTAGTACAATAGAGAGCAGTCGATATAATAGAGATTAGAGAGAGAAAATTTGAGATTTGAGAGTGAGTCATCAGCATCATCAGCCCTTGCATGTGAAGAACAAGGGGAGGGGGCTGAGCATGTGATTCTGTCTTATTGAGGGGCCCGTTCGAAAAAAATCGGCTTTTCTGTTTTGGGTGAGTTAGCTTTTATTTGTAGGTTTTGTACATTATGTTACCATCATTATGAGAAACTTAAGTAGGTGAAGTTTTATGAGGGTCCATCAATGTTGTTGTTCCTTCTGATTTTATTGGGTAGAAAAAAGGCCATGTGTGTTTTTGTAGGCATGCAGAGTCATTTATCGGCTTATGTCGACGACTTTTGGCTTTTGTTATCCTTTAATTGAGGCTTGTTTTATGGTATTGTTTAAAGTCTTTTTTTAATTTTCTTTTCCCCCCCCTTTCCGGCGAGGGAACTTTCCAACGATATTAAATTATGGGTATCAAACCTCCAAACGTCGCTAAGAAACGCCACTAAGAAACGCCACCTCCCCCTCTCCCCAATGCATAGCCTCGAGTGTTCGAGGAAAATAAATTCTCGTGAGTGCTCCTCGAAAGAGTCGAACATGAGGCATTAGAATGTTACTCATATGCAGCTTGAGTGTTGTTACGGAGATTCCAAAATAGGGGATCGAACGCTCAGGGTCTTCACCTGTGTATCACGGGACAAGGATGCAACACCTCACATGTCCCACTCAGGGATGCGACACCTCACCTGTCCTCGTATGAACAGTGCATCACGGGGCAGGCAGTGGCGTAGCCAGGATTATTTTTTGTTCTGGGCGAAAAATAAAGGTACCTACAAGAAATTAAGTCTTGTGAGAGAGAGGAGGGAGGCGCGGGAGAGGGAGGAGGGAGAGGTCGTGGGAGAGGCGGAAGATCAAGGAAATGCTCGACAAAGTTGAAGAGAGGAAGGAGATGAGGAGAGGAAGGAGATGAGGAAGAAGAGAGGGGAAGCGGGGAGGAGGGAGGGTGACAATGGCGGGATATTCTTGCCCTGGGCAGCTGCCTAGGGCAAGAATACCCTGGCTACGCCACTGGGGGCAGGGATGCGACACGTCACTTGTCTCACTCAGGGATGCGACACATCACATGTCCTCATATCGAACACTCGAGGTCCTCATATGAACAGTGCATCACGGGATAGGGATGTGGTACCTCATCTGTCTCACTCAGGGTCCTCGGGGTCCTTGAGGTATTTTTCATGTAGCTTATCAACTTGGTTAGACCCTCTTAGATAAAGTTTCTGTTTTAATTATATTATACTTTTTACTACTCCCTCCAATCCAAAATGAATGTCTTTTTAGTTAAAACACACAAATTAAGAAAAGGTGAAAGATTACCCATATACCCTCATCCTAGTCTAAAGCTTCCTCACGTTTCAAAATTTCAAAATTTCAAAAGGAGAAAGATTACAAAAGGAGAAAGATTACCCATTTCAAAATTTCAAAATTTCAAAAGGAGAAAGATTACCCATTTCAAAATTTCAACTCAAGTCCTAAAGATGGAGTACCTTTTTCTGCCATGAGATTTGATTTTGAAGAATAAATTTGAAATGAAATACTAGTAGTAATCTGGTGTGTGATTTCTGTTGGATATTTTTAAAGAAAAGGCAATTCTTAATGAATTCTAATAAATTTTTGTAATTAAAATATGCAATTAAAATATGTTTTAATGTGTTTTAATTTGTAATTAAAATGGGCATAATGACTATACATTATGACGAACGTTACGAAATTTATTGAGGGATTTTGTAACGGCTCTTTTCAACCCCTATATAAACAACATATGTTGAGCTCAAGAAATATGAAGAAAAATGTGGAAAACTTATCTTGTTTTCTTTTCTCCTCTACATATCATTTTCATCTATACTTTAGTTTTACTTTATGGGCAACTTCTTCATCTGAGCTGAAGCTCTGCACTCTCGCCCGAGTGCAGAGGCCGGGCCGTTTCCGGGGGTTTTTACCGCTAGGGGAGAAGGGATCTTCTGCGCCAGGGCGATAGGCGGGTCCTCAATCTTCTAGGGTAGTGTTTACACGACTGCTCCCGTCAGGCCTGTTTCTCTAATTTATATTATCTATATTTGATGTATTATT